TCCAGTCATGACAGCAATACAACATAAATTTCATAATCAGCTAAGCTCTGGCCTCCTGCCGCCAGAGGCATCAGTCACCATACTACCTGAACCTGAAATAAGCATTCCCCAAACGTGGGGTGAGATCTCTAAACAAGAAATCTCAGTAAGACAAGGGGTCCTTAAGGATCTTCCACCCCAAGCTCACTTACATGTGCAATATAAGTTCATAAGCAGTTTATCATCGTCAGTTCTAAATCAGTGCAATGTAGCAGATAATCATGTCATGTGTGTCAATACTATTCTACTGATCAGAGAAATGCAGGAATACGTCTATTACCCACACAATATGCAAGACGCTACTTGCACCCACCCACGGACTCACCATCTTTTATGACGCAACATACTCAGGCTTACCGACTAAGTGGAAACAACACAAACATATTATAAGTCATTGCACATATCAGCTCAAAAGCATTTCAAAATATCCAAAGCATGTAACACAACATGCATATAACCATACCCCCATGGGACATGGTGGAACCACGACATGGCTAAACCGAGGAGATGAAAGCTTACCTTGCAAGCTAACACATAAAGCCAAGAGTCCATAGCTCAAAGTCCAAACACAGCAGATTCACAATCTGTTATGGACCAACAATACATCAACAATCATACTCTACAAGTATACAACATAAAGACAACGCCTTATCATTACGTTTTACGTCTTAAGGCTTCTCACCAAGCCATAAGCCCTTAATCATATGATTCTGACTTACATTAATTAATAACAGAAGTTCAACTTCCTCAAACTAGGGTCCACAAACTCCTAGATCAGTTCTGGATGAACAATACGCTACTGTTCTTCGCAAATCCAGAATATCCGGATATTCCACGGGGACATATCCGGATATGCAATATCCGGATATCTCACAGGCAATATCTGGATATCCAATATCCGGATATCACTCTGGCAATATCCGAATATCCAGATTCCCATATCCGGATATCAATATCCGGATATTCCACGGGCAATATCCGGATATTTCACGACAGAATGCAGTTTCTGCATTTCGCGAAGATATCCTTCCAAGGTTCTATTTTTAACACTTCCAGAAGCTTAAACATGCATCTTAAGGTTCATTGAGGTTCATATGACAGTTGGTTACTTGTTTAATCCATTAAACATACCAAGACTTCATCTTTAAGCAACAACACTCAAGACCAAGGTTGGTACATCTTACCACAGTTTAAACTCAGCAAGATGGGTGCTCTTGGAGCTCACACAACAGCTCCAAGGTACTGACTTCAAGGGTGCACGAAAATGCCACTCAAGCTTGGTTCTTTCTTCACAAAGGTTGCCATTTTGAAGCTTACAATCTAAGAAGAAAGCTCCAACACTACAACCACCAACTCATCCCCTTCACAACCACAACACAACCCCTAACACTCAGAAGCAAGGCCACCAACACCCTCACAATGCTCACTCTCACTCACCCCAAGGTGTTTACAAGGAGAAAGTGTAAGAAAATGGCCTCAAAGCTTCAAGAAATGGTGAGAGCAAGAGAAGGAGACACCAAGTCAGCAAGGAGACCACACTCAGCAGCCACTTACGCTCAAAACTGATGCATTAACCTAGGGTTGTGTGCATAAGTCCTATATATAGTCACTTAATCAATTAACACACATTATTAACTTTAATTGCCACGCTTAGTATTTTAATCCGAAACTTTTGATTCTTAACCTACTCAATTTTACAAGAATTATCATATTTTTCTTATAATTTTCGGAGCACCTTTCCGGTACGCGCTTTTCATAGCCAGTACCAGTTTCTGGCACCAGTTCTCATTATTTTGACTTGAAACTCGTTTTACAAGTCCTACATATTATTCTAGTAATTATCATGCACTTATTATAATTTTCCGGGATACTTTTTTGGTACGCATTTATACCGACTAGCAGAACCGGTATCTGCACTTTTCTTCCGAAAAGCGACTTTCAGCATTCTTACTCACTTACTATAATTATTAGAGCCTCATAATAATTATTAGGGTCAATTATGGAATTATTTCCTAATTTCACATAATTAATTAATTAACTTCCTTAATTAACGGTGCGGGTTCTTACTATCTCACCTTTCTTCATGGGAGTTTGTAAAGAACCTATTTTTGTGCATTTCTCTTCCTCTCGATACTTCTAGTGAGTGGAAAACCATCATCTTGAGGCAGACAGGTCCCTTCTTGAAACCCCCCTAGCTGTTGCCTTGGAAGAGAGTGTATAAGCCTTTGGAGTTTTCGAGTTTGAACCAACTTTGAGCTTGTTTGGAAACTCCTTGTGGTGAAAGGAGTGGAGTGTATTGCTCCATTTTCGTGCTCAGTGTTTGGTGATGAAAAAGAGTGCATTTCTCAACCTTAAAGGCCTCCCATTTTTGCTTACAAGCCTTTGGGGTATATTCCTTCGCTTTATTCATGATTTTTCATGTTAAAGATCAAGTCTTGGCATGTAATATGATAGGATTAAGTAGCTAACATGAACACTGACCTAAAGGTGTCTAAAAATGCATGCTTGAACGTAGAGTAATGTTAAAAATGGAACCTTGAAGAGATATCTTCGTGAAATGTAAAAACTGCATTCTGTCGCGAAATATCCGAATATGATATCCGAATATAATATCCGGATATGATATCCGGAGATATCCGGATATGGATATCCGGATATGGATATCCGGATATGCCCTCGACAAATATCTGGATATTCTGGAAATTTCGATGTTGTGCATTGTTCTGTCCAAACAGAAGTGTAGATTGGGTTTCTGGACCCATGATTGGTTAATGTGAACCTCTGTAATAAGTTAATGAGTAAACACCCTTTTTGGTCCCTGGAAATATCTACGAAATCCTTTTTAGTCCCTGACAATAAAAAAGGACCAAATTGGTCCCTAAAATTATGAAAAAAGGGCCACATTAGTCCTTATGTCAACTCCTCTGTCACTAACGTGGCCCTTTTTACATACTGTTAGGGACCAAATTGGTCCTTTTTTATTGCCAGGGACTAAAAAGGATTTCGTAGATATTTCCAGGGATCAAAAAGGGTGTTTACTCTAAGTTAATTAAGTCAGAATCACTTAGATTAAGGACTTACGGCTTTGGGAGAAGCCTAAGAGCACTAAACGAAAAAAGAAATATTTTCATAATGAAATGAACCTTTAGAATATGAATATTGATGATGTTTCTGGTATAAACAGACCGTGAGTGTGCTGTTTGGTGACCTTGGGCTGGTGTGGACTCTTGAGTTTGGATTGATAGCTTGCGAGGTAAGTTTTCGTGTCCTCGGTTTTGCCCATTATTGATTCCACATACCTCATGGAGGGATGGTCTATATGCATGATGAGTTGTGTGAAAATCATGTGATGAATATTTGATATGCTATTGAACTATTTTATTAAGTGCAAGTGCCTTGTGATATATATGTGGTGTACCACCTAGACGGTAAGCCTGAGTATGTGGAGACATACAAGATGGTGAATCAGTGGGTGAGGTACAAGCGGTGTTCCTTGTACTGTAGGTTGTAGACGTATGTAATCCCTACATTTTTATTCTCTGGCCAGTAGGATTCTTACACACATGACATTGATATATGCTGCATTGCACAGATTCTGGAAATGACATTATTATACTGTTTTGGAAATTATATTGCATATGTAAGTAAGCTTGGGTGGAGAGATCTTTGATGACCCCTTGTCTTGCTGCGATTTCTTTTTAGAGATCTCACCTCGTGTTAGGGCACATTTTCAGGTACAGGTACCTCGAGGGTTGATACCTCTAGCGATAGGAGGCAGGAGTTGAGTTGATTGATGAATGCTTCTTTATTGTTATTTGTTCATATGATTATGCCTTGTTATTTCCTATATGGCTGATGTATTTGAGACTTGCTGTGAAGTCCTATTTGGTGAGCATGGGGGTTGTCCATGCCACATTAGTATTTGTTATGATACTTCAGACTTGAGTTGTATAATGTATCAGGATATTGTATGGTCTACGTGTTGTAGTTCCGTGACTAGATACACATTTATGATATGAGGATATTCAGTGTAGTGATTATTGCAATTTACATACAGGCATTATTTTAAAAACGAATAAGTAATGAACTTGGTTAATAATAATGATGTCATAATTGAAAAGAAAAAGTTAGCTTTCGCATTTATTTAGCTGCATTATTGTCATATGTATGCTTAATACACTGGGTGCACACAAGGTGTTACAATGTATTTTTTCTAACCGATTCATGTATGTTAATTCAACATTTAAATTGATTTGATGAGGGGTACAACTTTGGTGAAGAGTGTTTTGGATTTTAATGAAGTTTAGGTGGTGGGATCTTAGAGAGAAGGTGGAGAAAATTTGAAAACCTCCAAGGTAGAGAGAGAATGAAGTGGGCTGCTGATGGGAAGGGAAGGGGAAGAGTCTTCTTATATTTTTAGGGTTTTCGCTATGTCATTAAGTGACTTTCTGTCATTTAATGACACCCGATGTAATTTTTCTCTGAACGGTTATCAAATTTCTACCCTGAAACCCCCAAGACTCTAACTTTAACATTTTTGGTCTAATTATGACTTGTTAGACATATATTGGTCTTTATTTCTATTTTCTCATCTTTTTCCCGTTCCGGGATTCTACCGGCTGCTGCTACAACAGTACAAAATATCCGGCAGAAGTGACTTTTGAAAAATACCCCAATATGGGTATCAATCTTCATCAAATCATATCCTAACCTCATTCATGATGTGTATATCATTAGATTAGCTCTCTAACTATAATTTGCTAATTTGGAGCTATTCTGCTGACTGTTATTACGTCAGCAGTCAAAATTAACAGATGAAAATTCATCTGTGCATAATACCCTCAATATGGGTATCAAAATTCTTAGAATTTTATTCTCATTCTATTTATAACCATAAGGTCCTCATCATTACCCTCAAATTTAAGATCACATAATTAGGGTCATTATATTCACCACACCTTTTAAAAAGATTTTGTCCTCAAAATCGGATGATACCTGATATCAAACTCGGGATATCGCCGGAGAATATCATCCTTCCTCTCCCATGTGGCGTCCTCAGGTGTCAATCCCTCCCATTGAATCTTGATCATGGGAATAACTCTATTTCGAAGCTGTTTCTCATCTCGAGCAAGAACCTTAGAAGGTCCAACAACGAACTTCAGGTCCTTCTTAACCTCTATGTCATCATGCTGTACAATGTGTGAGTCATCATATATATATCTGCGGAGTTGACTCACATGGAAGACGTCATGTACATTCGCCAAGTTGGGAGGTAGAGCAAGTTGATACGCCACCGGTCTGACCCTCTTTATTATATAGTAGGGCCCAATGAACCGTGGACTCAACTTCCTCACTCCCAAGGCACGTCCAACACCTGTAGTGGGTGATGATCGAATGAATACATGATCCCCTTCAGAAAACTCAAGGGGTCTGTGCTTGGCATCATAGTAACTCTTCTAACGGCTTTGGGCTTTCTTCAGCCTATCTCTGATCATCTCAATCTGCTCTGTAGTCTCTTGGACCAAGTCTGGCCCCAATAACTGTCTTTCTCCAATCTCCGTCCAACAAGTAGGTTGTAAGAACCCGCACCGTTAATTAAGGAAATTAAGCAGTTAATTATGAGTTTAATGAGATAATTCCATAATTTACCCTAATAATTATTATGAGGCTCTAATAATTATAGTAAGTGAGTAATAATGCTGAAAGTCACTTTTCTGACGAAAAGTGCAGATAACGGTTCTGCTAGTCGGTATAAATGCGTACCGAAAAAGTATCCCGGAAAATTATAATAAGTGCATGATAATTACTAGAATAATATGTAGGACTTGTAAAACGAGTTTCAAGTTAAAATAATGAGAACTGGTGCCAGAAACTGGTACTGGTTATGAAAAGCGCGTACCGGAAAGGTGCTCCGAAAAATATAAGAAAAATATGATAATTCTTGAAAAATTGAGTAGGTTAAGAATCCTGAGTTTGAGATTAAAATGCTCAGCGTAGCAATTAAAGTTAATACTGTGTGTTTAAGTGTTAAACCACTATAAATAGGCTTGTTGGCCCAAAACCCTAGGCATGCTCAGTTTCTCTACGTGAGATTTTTTGAGGTTTGGGAAGCCACCTTGTCACCTTCATCCTCCCTTCTCCATTGGAGCCAAGAGACCTCATTTCTTCTTGGTTCTTCCTCTAAAACTCCTTGTGTGGGTGTGCAAGGGCTAGAGAGAGTGTAAGGTGTCTCCTTTTCTGAGTTTAGGGTGCTGTTTTATGGGGTTTGGGGTGCTGACTTGTTGGTGGTTGTGGTAAGAGCCATCTTCTTGACTTATGAGGCTTCAAGGAGCTTCCTTTGTGAAGAAATGGCCAAGCTTTGTGGCATTTTCGTTTCCCTTTGCAAGTCAGAATGTAGGAGCTGAAGTGTGAGCTCCAAGGGCACCTCCTTGCTCTATTTTGAGCTTATTGTATGATCACCACCCTCGTGCTTGAGTTTTATGCTTAAAAATGGAACCTTGATGCATGTAATGAGCTAAGTTGACAACTTAAGGGTGGGTAAGGTTAAACACACCTAGAAATGCATGTTTAGGCTTCTGTAATCGGTAAAAATGGAACCTTGGAAGGATATCTTCGTGATATGCAGAAACTGCATTCTGTCGCAAAATATCCGGATATTGATATCCGAATATGGGGATCTGGATATTCGGATATTGAGCTTGTGTGGACTTGACTTGGATTGATTGCTTAAGAGGTAAGCTTTCGTGTCCTCGGTTTAGCCATGTTGTGGTTCCACCATGTTCCATGGGGGTATGGTTATATGCATGTTGTGTTACATGCTTTGAATATTTGAAATGCTGTTGAGCTTTATGTGTAATGGCTTTTAATATGCATGTGTTGTTCCATCTTGACGGTAAGCCTGAGTATGTGGCGTCATACAAGACGGTGATCCAGGGTGGATGCAAGTAGCGTCTTGCACTATGTGTGGGTATTTGGCGTATATAAATCCTGCATTTCTATGGCCAGTAGAATAGAATTGACACACATGACATGATTATCTGCTGCATTGCACTATTTTAGAACTGATGATGATAAACTGCTTTTGAACTTATATTGCACATGTAAGTGAGCTTGGGGTGGAAGATCCTTGAAGACCCCTTGCCTTACTGAGATTTCTTGTTTAGAGATCTCACCCCACGTTTGGGGAATGCTTGTTTCAGGTTCAGGTAGTATGGGAACTGATGCCTCTGGCGGCAGGAGGCCAGAGCTTAGTTGATGATATTGCTGTTAGATATGCTGACCTGTTTGAATGCTGGATTTAGATGCTGTTATGTTTTCTGCACTTATATGTTGTTATGTTTTCTGCACTTATATGCTTATGTTGCTGTTGTTCAGACTGATGTTGGGCTTTGTTGCCTTATTTGTGTGAGCATGGGGTTTGTCCATGCCACTTTGTGGTTAGTACTTTTAGTTGGAGTTGTATAAACTGTTAGATGGTCCGGTCTACATTTTGTAGTTCCGTGACTAGAGACTCATACTTCTGTTATTTAATTAATGAGGTATTTCAGTTAGCTGTTTATTGCAATATACATACAGGCGAGGTTTTGAAAATGGTTAAGTAATAAAGTTGGTAATGATTAATGACATCATAATTGAAAAGAAAAAGATATTTCGCATTTTAATTAAGCGCAGCTTAATACGATAGTGTGATAACATTACCGGATATATACGGGGTGTTACATAGGTGCTCTACACCTACGGCCGTACAAGGCCTCATAAGGAGCCATGCTCAAACTGGCATGATATCTATTGTTGTAGGAGAACTCAACCAGTGGCAGGTACTTGTCCCAAGCATTACCCTGCTCTATCACACATGACCTCAGCATGTCCTCTAGTGTCTGAATGGTCCTCTCTGTCTGACCATCTGTCTGCGGGTGGTATGCAGTACTCAATCTCAATTGAGTACCAAAGGCCTCATGCAACGCTTCCCAGAAGCGTGAAGTAAACTTCGGATCCCGATCACTGACTATGCTTTCGGGAATGCCATGAAGCTTCACAATCTCTCTGACATATAGTCTGGCTAATTGCTCTGTGGAGAAAGTCGTATTGACTGCAATGAAATGAGCGGATTTAGTCAACCTATCCACCACAACCCATATGGAATCAATTCCAGCTTGGCTTCTTGGTAATCCAACAACAAAGTCCATGGATATACTCGTCCACTTCCACTCCGGAATATCTAATGGCTATAACAAACTAGAAGGCTTCTGATGCTCAATTTTTACCTTCTGACAAATAAGACACTTATTCACAAACTAGGCTACGTCTTTCTTCATCCCAGACCACCAAAATTTTTGTTTCAAATCTTGGTACATCTTAGTTGCACCCGGGTGAATGGTGTACTTACCCATATGGCCCTCGGTTAACACTTCTTCTACCATTGGCCCCTTTGGGACAATTAACCGATCTTATAGTATTTCACATGAGAAGCATCGGTGAACACAAAAACTTGCTCTTTCATCATTTGGATCCCTTCATCAAACACTTGGGCCGCTTTATCTTTTTCCATTAACGAATTTCGGACTTCGACCATAGTCATGAAATATGAAGTCTCAAATGGTGTCACAGAAATTCGCAAATCCCTGAACTCCTCAATCAATTCATACTCTGCAATCATCATGCTAGCCACACCCGTGGTCTTGACTTCAAGGCATCAGCCACTACATTTGCCTTTCCAGGGTGATACTGAAGGTCAAACTCATAATCCTTCAGGAATTTCATCCATCTCCTTTGTCTCATATTAACCTCCTTTTGATCGAATAGATACTTCAAGCTTTTGTGATCACTAAAAACTGTGAAGGTAGCACCATACAAGAAGTGTCTCCATATTTTCAATGCAAAAACCACGGCCGCTAACTCAAGATCATGAGTAGGGTAATTCTCTTCATGTGGTCTCAACTGTCTAGAAGCATAGGCCACTACCTTTCGCTCCTGCATCAACACGCACCATAATCCATACTTGGATGCATCACAATAGATCTCAAATCTCTTCTCTAGATCAGGAAGAATCAGAACCGGTGCGGTAGTCAACTTACCTTTCAATTCTTGAAAACTCACATCACACCCAAGGGTCCATGCAAATGGCACCCCTTTTCGGGTCAACCTAGTCAATGGCAAGGCGATTCTGGAGAATCCATTAATAAACCTCCTGTAGTATCCGGCTAAACCCAGAAAACTCCGGATTTCAGTAACACTCTTGGGTCTCTCCCAATCCAACACAGCTTCAATTTTACTCGGATCAACAGCCACTCCTGTAGATGAGATGACGTGTCTAAGAAACTGGATCTCATGTAACCAAAACTCACACTTGGATGGTTTGGCATATAACTGATGCTCCCTTAAAATCTGTAGAACTATCTTCAAATGCTTTGCATGTTCTTCCTTACTTTTAGAGTATATCAGAATATCATCAATGAATACCACAACAAACTGATCTAAATGTGGTTTGAAAATCTGGTTCATATAACTCATGAACACGGCCGGGGCATTAGTAAGCCCAAATGGGATCACTAGATACTCATAGTGCCCATATCTGGATCGAAAAGCCGTCTTCGGGATATCCTCTGCTTTTACCCGGATCTGGTGTTATCCAGAACGAAGATCAATCTTCGAGAACACTGAAGCACCCCTGAGCTGGTCCAATAGATCATCAATGCGTGGGAGAGGATACTTGTTCTTTACTGTCACCTTGTTTAACTGTCGATAATCAGTGCACAACCTCATAGTCCCATCCTTCTTCTTCACGAAGATGACTGGTGTACCCCAAGGAGATACACTCGGTCTGATAAAGTTCTTGCGGGATAATTCTTCTAACTGCTTCTTCAGCTCAGCTAATTCCACTGGTGACATCCAGTATGGAGCCAATGAGATAGGCCCCACACCAGGTACTAAGTCAATTGAGAATTCAATCTCCCTCTCAGGTGAAACACGAGGAATTTCTTCCGGAAATACATCTTCAAACTCGCACACAGGATAATGCATCCTGCATCTCCCTCATTTAGAGCCTTATTTAATTTCTGTGCCGTCAAGTACAAACTATCCGGCTTTTCTCCTTTTGCAGCAAAGAAAACCCTTCTGCTACAACAATCTAGCATCACACCATATCGGACCAGCCAATCCATACCCAAGATAATGTGTAGATTCATGCCCTCAAGCACTATCAAATCCACCATATACTCTTCTTGCTCTTATATGAATCTGACTTCTTTGCACTTCAAAGAAGTAGAGACAATGTCTCCGGTGGCAGTCTTCACTACCATGGGAGGCGTGAACTCATAAATGGGTAGATGTACCCCATTAGCAACAAATTCAAATATGAAGGAGTAGGTAGCTCCAGAATCAAACATGGCATCAAAAGCATATCCTCTGATAAGAATAGTACCTCTGATAAGGTTTAGAGACCTCTCTGCCTCCTGCTGTGTCACTGCATATACCCTGGCACTAGTGGGCGCCATAGGCTCTCTGAGTAGGCACAGACTGAATAGGGATCGCCTGCATAGCTGCAACTTGCCCCGTCTTCTTGGGGCACTCTCTGGAATAGTGTCCTGCCTGACCACAACTGAAGCAAACATTCTACCCTAGTCGACAAACACCTGTATGCATCTTCCCACACTTGGCACAAGTGGGAATCTTCCCTGCACCAGACATTCCGCTTCCATTCTTCACAAAGGGAGCCTTCTTAAACTTGGTATTCTGCTGTGCTTGCAAACCTTTGCTCTTACCCTTCCAGGGCGTAGTCCTCCCACTGAAGCTCTTTCTGCTGCTTCCTTTCCCCTGGTACGATAGTGCTCCTGAATATTCTGGCACTACTTGACTAACTCCACAAAATCTCCGGTGCAATGACCAGCCAGTTTGTCTGCTATCATATCATTCAGACCCTTCCTGAATCGAAAGGCCTTGTCTTCTGGAGTGAGGGGAGCTCTACCATAAACAGAATATTTTTCCAAGCGGTTGAACTTGCTCGGATATTCATCCACAGTCATGCCTCCCTGTCGGAGGTCTTCAAACTCACTCTTCTTCCTTTCCCTGGCTTCTTCAGGGAAGTACTTCTGCAGAAAATGCCTCTCAAATAACGGCCAAGTAATAGCATAACCTTGGCACTCAAGTGGTTTTCTAACATTACTCCACCAGTCAGCAGCATCCCCCTGTAACATGTACACCGCATATAGGAGCTTCGTGTTGGCATCGCATTCCATAACCTGAAAAATGCGCTCCATCTCTTGGAGCCACTCCAATGCTGCGATGAGATCTCTTCCACCTTTGTAGTGAGGTGGGAAATGCTTCCTGAAAGCATTCAGCATACGCTCTCTAGTATCCCGGTCAAACCTGGGTGGTATAGCTGATCTATCAACCTCAATAACTGGCTGTCTCACTAGTCCCTCATGGACAGATGCCTCCGCCTCCTGATGGGCCTCTCCTGACCCTTCCTGTCCCAGCACAATAGGCTCAAGAATCTGTACGGGACTAGCAGCACGTGCAACCTGCTGCTACACATGTGGTGTAACTGGCGGTGGAGGAGGTGGTGAAGGTGGTGGAGGTCTTCCTCATACCTCTGTCAATAGTAGTCGGATCATCTCAGCATTGGCTAGCCTATTCTACGCCATAAGGTCTTCATTGGCCTTTCTCAGCTGCTCTCTATCGCGTTCACTGGCCTCTTTGATTCTTTTCAAATCAGCTTCCCTGGTTTCATTCAGGGTCTGCTGCAATGTTGCTATAGCTGCAACAATAGGATCAGGAGGAGGGTTTTGAACTATTCGCCTGGGTCTCCCCCGAGGTGCCATGTCACTACACAAAACTGCACGAGGTATGAGTTAGCTATGCTCAATCAAGTGATAGCATATGCAATATCATGACACTCAAGAGACACTCAATAAACAGTTCTAACACTTAAGCAATACATCAGTGAACGTCCCGGTGAAACTGCTCTAATACCATAAATGTAACACCCTGTAGTACTCCGGTTGTTAACATACATGATATTTAACATTCACAGCGGAAGACTTTATTTGAAAAGGAATAAAACATCTTATAAAAATACGAGTAAACTTTTTCCAAAACATTTTATAAAAATATTTCTAAAAACGTTCACGTGAGATACTGCGAAAACGTAAATCTAAATATACATCTAGTAATTAATCCCACGAGCCAGTATTAGTGGCCATTGACCATCAAGATATGACATCAAGTGTCATTCCTGACAGAGTCTCACGGACAGCATAACAGCTGTATTTTGGATAACTGGGAACCTGGTCCCACACATACAGTTAACCTGATAAATATAATAATTTAAACAGACAGCTTGCAAGTCCCACACGGACTGCAATCCCCTCAACATGCTCAAATTAACTGAATGCATACATCAAGTCTATATTAATTCAAATTATAAAAAAATCAGTAATTAATCCATAGCTCTAAGGATACAATCATGAGCCTAAATAAACACATACAATAATCTCCATAAAATAATTCAGAATGTTAACAAGTCTACATGCTAACATCAAATCTAAACATAATATAAAATCATCAGCTGCATCATCATCTACTCCAATGCGGGAGCCTTGCCCCTAGAAGCATCACCACTACTCTGTGTACCTGAAATGATGTCCCCAAACGGTGTAAGATAACAACATCTCAGTAAGATCAAGGTTCATAGAGGATCCTCTAATCCCATGAGCCCACTTCCTGCATGACAAGTCAGATATAAAGCATATAATACAAACATACAACAAAGCATAGCATCATCATATTATCCTTGTGTAACCCCAGGGTCAAAGCCATAGACGGTTACACATGTGTGACTTCCAGGGTCAAGCCATAGACAGTCAACACAACCTCAGTATGAAATAGCTCCCAGAGTCAAGTCATAGGCAGCCAACCTACATACCATGATCACTGGCCAGGATCCTCATAACATATATCATTAGTGCATCATCATAACATCAAGATCATATAACAATTATATGAATGTGAATGAATGCACATATACATCATGCCATATACTTTCATACAATATAACCATAATGCCCACCATCATGGTGGGGCCACAAGAGAGAGGAGTCAACTAGAACTAGGAGCTTACCTCAGGGAGCTTAGCACAAGCCCACACTCCAATAGTATACGTATGCTCCAACAAAATCCTCAAGTGTACGGTTCTCTAGGCACACCTAGAGTAGGAACCATTCACATAATTAATTACATATTAATTAATCAAGTCATATCCACGACTTAATCATTTAATGATTCCACTTTTCATACTCATATGCCAATAATATGCCCATTACAAGTCTAGACCAATTATTACATAATTACGTATTTTAGTACATTATTACAAGCTACCTAAATCTTTAATTAATTACATAACTTAGAATCACATGCAAGGCTCACTTAGGTAACTTAGATTATTTTCAACTCATCCAAGCCATATTTATGATTATTATAAGTTACTAAGGGTTCCCCTAAGCCTACTTAGCTTAAATATCACTTTTACGGTTTTCCCATAACTATACATGCTTCTATTTTCTAGTTACTGAGCGTAACTCACTTGTTATAAAATTCTCATCTTTTAGTATGTTAATCTAGACTCAATTAAATTTCCAACAAGGTATCACATGCCTCATTTGG